GAAACTAGATTTATTCCTCCAAGGAGTGCCGGACCAACCGAGCTGTGGTGGGTATGTGGGCCTGCGGGCCGCTCCAAGCAACAGCCTGGTGGACCAAACTCTCACAAGTCGAGCCTGGCCTCGGGCCGGGCTTGGGGAGTAGAAGAACTCCCAGAACCCTATCAACCAGGTATCAACCAGGCAGGCTGCACAGCACCTTGATGCCCTAACCAGCACGATACCACTCCCTACCCAAGGTCAAACAAGAGCCATGAAACCCCAGCAGGCCCCAAGGGCAGAGTAAATGCTGAGCAGCAAAAACCCCTACGGAAATGGTTTCTGAACGCACCAGAGAAGAGAACCCTAACAAACAAGGGCAGTACTCACAGGGCACCTAGGGAAGGATGCCACTAAGTGCACGTAGCCCTGGTACTCTTGAGGACGCTTGACCACTACACAAAACAACACTGCAAAGGTCACCACAAAGGCAAAACACCGCCTTGGAATTTGAGGACAGAAGACGTCCGCCCCGGACCACATTAGCGAACGAACTGGAGTACTAGGTAGCTGGCACGGGGATGCCCGAGGTTCCCCCCCCCCCACCTCTCAGGGAGGGAAGGGCTGTGCGGATGAGCGACGCAGCAGTGGAGTGTGATGTTTGCTCGTTTCCTTGGGATTGAAGGGAGTTGTTCTTGTTTTTTCTTCTTTTTGTAATCTTTTTACCACGTGGGGTTTGTATTGTTATGCCTACCTTTGTTGGAGCCTAACCCAGGTCGATGGCAGATAAGGAAAACCCCAACAACTAGGGAGTTTTTCCAGGGCCATTGCTCCCTGCACTTCTGAGGGGGGGGTTAAGTTCTGACTCATGGTCCCCGGTAGGCTGAACTCCATAGACTAATGCCCCGGTCTAATGTATCACATATTAGCCCGATAGCTCCAGGGAACTGTAGGGGCTCCCCACAGAAAATTCTTGATTTGAACACCAGTTACAAACACTAGTCAGTCAATTAGGTACAATGGTATAGCTAATTTATAAGAATTGCCAGAGATTATCATCTCTTGGCAATTACAGCATCTGGGCTTATAGCCTGAATATGATTTGTGTGGTTTAATCGTTAATCATTCCACTGCGCGACACAAGGGATGTTCTCGGCAAATATCTATAAGCTGCACGACACAATTAAGGGCATTTTAAAGCACCGAGTACATTTAAAACTCCTGTGGGTACAGGAGACTCGCGACTGTTTCCTCAGGCTTCCAGTAAACAGACACCATCTTGGAAAAAAATCTTGAGTACCTCCTGGTTGCGAAGGCCTCAGTACCAAGAAAGCAACCATGAGTAGTGTTGAACTCTGATCTCTGGCTAAGAGACTGCTGTATTTGTAACTGCTTTGTGGTACGTAATAGTGCATGAAAATGTAGGTAATTATATACAAAGTGTATATAGTGTGCAAATAGCAGAAGAAATGTTTGTTTTATACTTTTAAGAATATAATATTGTGCCCATATTAGTGACTAATATATTTGAGCATTCTGGTGTTCCACACATTACATAAATTTCTCTTATAATAAAAATATGTAACAATATATTTGTGGTCACTCTCACCCTTCATTCTTAGCCCAGAGTGACCGCCAATAGCTATTGCTCCATGAACACTCTTGAATTGGGAAGTCATCACAACCTTTCTGTGCTCCATCACAGCCAAAGTGACAACAAAAAATTATTATTTTTTCCATGATCAGGTAAGACTTTCAAAAGGACTAGGGGGGAAAAATCAATTTACTTCACTTTTCTTACACATCTTGGGGTTGTCAGCTATAAAAAGGCGCACAGTGCTGGAGTTAATAAACATTTCACCATAAATCTGTACTAAAATCATGGGTGACCAAATTATTTTAACTTTATTAAACCATGCTTCCCTGGAACAATCACAGCCAAGCAACAACCCCAAGATACTGATTTACAAGTGCTTGCAAAAATGACACTAAATCTTACACAGTACACTTACTAAATGCTGCACCATTTCATAATCTTTTTCTCACTAGTACCAGTACTGTTTCTTCTCACTTACTCACACATGTTGAAGCAATCTTGCTTCTAATTTCCCAACATAAGAAAATGACAAATGCTCCACTTGCATGCAGTGTTTATCCCAAACTCAAAATGTATGAGCTGTCACATGACAGCAAATGCATTTTATTACCAGCAACACTAATAAGTGACATTGCAAAAAACAAAATGATTTTACTTTTTATTATTGTTTACGGTTCATCGTCAACTTGCCTGTTCTTATTCATGTTCTTATTACTGTAATCCAGGTAACTGGAATTTGCATTATTGCTCTTATAAATAAAGTATTGCATTTGCCAGCAGAAAATCATGCAGAAGGTGCACTTTAATTGCATATGTGTAGGCTGCCTTCCTAGCAGAAAAGCAGCTTTCAAGCTCGTGTTTGCTCTGCACAATACCTACCAGAATATATATTTTTCCCTCATTTTGAATAACTATCCTAATTAGTCAGAATCAATGCAATCTTTGTGTAGTGACGTGATGATACAAGTGTAATAAAATTAACTAATACAATACTAGTTATAATAGAGTACAGTGATCTTAATCTAGCTCACGTTGGAAAATTAAAGGAACTAGTCGGCAAAGGTGATACATGTAGACCTACACCTAAAATTACCACAACCTAATGAACCAAGTGGCAAAAAGTAAGTCATATTTTATGTGATATTTGGTTACGTGGGCCGATACTGCCATTTCTTTTGATTGAACTCTATTTGTTGCTAGCCTTCTATCCAGATGCCTCATTTCCCTCCCACTCAAAATTTGACAGGTGTATAAATATTTAATCCATTATGTGATGGTTAATTAAAAGGCTTCCTGGTTGGGAAAAAGGGGAAGGTCCTAGATACAGTTCTTGAAAAACTAGTAATATTGTAATGTGTGTACAATAGTTGTTGAATGCCTGCTGGTATAGCTTATGCAAGAGGAAAAGAATAAGGAAGCAGGAAATTAATAACCAGGCCAAACTGACATGTTCCGGTAGAGATTGAGAATACAAAATATGGCAATCAAGAGGGGCTGCAGCAAGTACAATATAGCCAAAGAAAAGAACCATCAATTGAAAGAGCTTTTGCACATTTACCTTCCACGTCTCAAAAACTTATCTCCCTCCCAACATCTTGTAGACCCAGGGGTTTCATTAAGGATCTAGTTAAAGATTTTTTGGGATTCCATGAAATTTAAAATCATCTTTCATTTTGATACCAATTTACGAAATAATCAAAGTACTGTACAATTGTACAGCACAGTATTTTATGCACTGACAGACCCAACTATGTATACAGAGGCTGTGCATGTAACATCAGTGCATTGCTAGCATTAAAACCATCTTGATTCTCTTGGTTTAAGTTTAAAACAATACCATACATTACTAACTTACCAGCAATAACTTTTTAGAGAATTTGGCCTCATGGAAAGCTTTCCAAACATGTCCAACCATGGAAAGAGAGAGAACCATCGATCACGTATTCAATTTCATGTTTTAAATGTGGTTTTCCTCCTCTTACTCTAAACTGAAGAATTTGAATTAGAACTTCCACTTTAAAGGCTGCTAGCCAATTCAGTTTCATTTAGCCATGGAAGGATTGAGGAAATGTGTCTAACATCTTGCCAGGTGATCAATGGAGCAGATACATACATAAAAAATGCATCTTCATTTCAGAGCTTTAAATAAAACTTATTTAAACTATACTGTACTTCCAACAACATTAGTTATGCCAACATCAATTATAGCCAATTGTAATAGAATTATGTAAACATTGAGGTAAGTGATTGCTTTTTGATGCAGATTAGCACCTGGAATAACTGTCAAAACACTGGACTTTAACCCGAGGTAAACACTGGTTTTGACTGGGTTAACAGTCTCTGCAATAACATCTGCAGTAAAATTTCCAGATATATAATGGAACTAGACATTTTTCGATTGCATGAGAAAAATCAAGGAAAAATTCCCAGGCCAGAAAATCTCAGGGTACAAACAGGTTGTAGTGAATACAAGTAGTACCCTATAATTACAAGGACAGTAGTGACTATCATGAATGTAACAAGCTCCGCATATGCAATGAGTATAGGTTGATGTAACGTCACACCAACGACACAAACTTCAGAAAGAAAAATTTAATTATTCGTCTGAAAACCCATAAAATGTTTCAATTGGGGAGAACTAATTAAATTTTGTTGAACACTAAACAAATCATAGGGTTGTGTTTTGGCATCTACTTAATGAAACCCCATATTACCGCACAAAATCCTTTAAGAATCTTGTTCATTAAGCAAAAAATCTATCTTGAGAATAGCATCGTAGCCTCCTTAGCAGAAGCAAGCTCTTCACTTACCAGATAATTAACCATCTTAAGTCAGCATTTGTTTCCTTGCCTGAAAAACACCTTTTACCTAGCAAAATCCTGCTAAGTCCTCACCAGCAGTAGAGCCATCTTGCCCAACACTGACCAAACCAATCTTCAACTTAACACTAACTGAGTTTAGTGCTTTCTTCCGATAATTACCTTATCACTAATCGCTAATTTCCAAGATTTCACCCCTCATTTCTTACATTTATGTTCTCCAGTTCACAAGTTAATTTGTGAAGTAACATACAGTACTATTCATATACAGTACCATAATTTCCTCAGATAATACCATAATCAGATAATATCCCAACCCAAACCTTTTATCCACCAAGAACATTTCTTGTGTGCATGTTCCAAAGGCTTTGTTAACGTTCTGCTCACTATTTTTTAGGCCGGACACAAACCTAATACTTCTTTCAGACAAAAAATTGAAACATTATGTATTCAGCTTTGCAACCAACAAAGTATCTTAAGTTATTAGATCATGTCAAGTTTAAATGAAACTCACTAATATTAAATACCAATTAACAACCAATCTAACAAGTGAAAACATTGTGGAAGTATACTGCAAACTATCAACATTTTCCACACCAAAAACTTACCCTCACACTGATCTCGAGGTAACACCTTCCATCTTGTGTTAATAACTTGTTCAAGGATCTGAAGTGCATAGTATTTTGTCTGTTGGTTTTGTGAATATTCCAGAATAGCATCTACACGAGTCCACGCATCAGGATGCTCTTTTAGTGTTGTGAGCACCTCTTGTGCTATCCGTTGCTGTAATAAGAAAGTGTAATCAAGATTTCCACCACTAACAGTAAACAAATTTTCATAGCAAATACTCAAATATTTACCTTATAATATTAAATTGGTGTATGTTAAAATATTAAACTCGTATGTATGTTTATATAGAGTAATGGCAAAGAATGAGTTCATACCTGTTCTCCAATTCCATTGTACATGAACCCAATAACATTATCTAGAAGGGGTATGTCAAGCTTCTGATTGAAATCGAGAAGCTTTGAAGCTTCAACTGTCAAACTCATCTTCTCAATCTGCAAAACAATATACAACTTTTTAATAAATAATTCAATGCATCACATGGGGCATCCTTGCTTATTGAGAAAAGGTTTACCTATAAATACACAGTTTTTTCATACAGGATATTAGATCAATATAAGCCCTAATTTAAGATATGCATAACTGTTACAATTACATATATAGTAGTTACAGGTACAGTATATATTTTGGAGGAGAAATTATTTAGAATACAATTCATATTCAAAATAACCTTCATATTCTCAGGAAAATGTAACAAATGCTGCAATACTTTGTACTCATTCTTTGTACAGTATCAAACTTTTCACAGAAGGCCATCAAACTACAGTACAACAACAGTCAAGTCCACAAAATGGAGGAGAGAATACTAGTCAATAAAGACACTGTACAAGTTCTAGACAACTTCACAACATATCAGTACAGTGTTGGAAATGATGAAAACAAATTTCATAATTTAATGTTTCCAAATTCATAACTTTTCATTCACAAGTTTTTTCACAAACTTAAACACCAATTCTTGCATGTCAACAATTACATCACCACCACAACCTACAGAACCACTGACAACTCTTGATGAACAAGTGTTGAGGAACACACCAACCAATGTTGCCACCACCACTTAGCATTGAAATGCAGGGTGAAAAAATGAACTTCAAAATGCAAATACACCTTTGCTTACATTCATTTTTTTTCATAAAAAACAGAAACAATGTAAAATGGGAAAATCATGTTACTTTAGTTTAAGCTAAACAATTTTAGAATTAATCTGGCCATTCAGTGACAGTAGAAAAAGATCAACGAATTACATTACTACATGCATTACTCTGCCTCTCGCTTCTATGGGGTGCAGAGGCAACAGACCAGAGATATAAAGGCAAATACTGCATACTGAAGTTATATATATTAAGAATGAAACAAAATAATAATAATAATAATAATAATAATAATGACTAAAGGCTTCATAAATACCATTACACCTTGCATTTCCATTTTAGTTTTACTTTATGTATATGCTTGTGTGTACATATCAGGGGTTGGCACCATAGTTTTTCTCTAGCCGTTAAAATTGTTTGCATAGTGTTTTACAATGATATAAGCAACGATGATGTAAGTGACAATGATATAAGCAACATTATAATTGACTATAGATACATTACATTGAATATACTACCTAAATATAGCAAAAATTTGGATATAAGCTCAAAGGGTACAACTAATTATTTTATAAATAGCTTCCTGTAAGCATAACTGTTGTATAAAGGAACAAATGTACAATAAGTTTTCCATAAAATGTTAGATAACCCAATAGAATAATCTTGTATCCAAATATTGTACCATAGCACAATACCCTCAAACAGTGCCAGAATAATCATGTTAATTAAACATTTAATTAGCAGTCCCCTTGGCATAATGGTAAGACGCTTGCCTGGCGTATCGCGAGCGCTGTGGCCTGGGTTCGTATCCTGGCCAGGGAGGATTTATTGACTGCCAATCCTTAACTGTAGCCTTTGTTGCCCAACAGTAAAATGAATACCTGGTTGTTAAAAAATTTGGTGGGTCATATTCCGGGCAATATTAGGATTAATTACCTGCCTGAAATGTTATGCGTGCTAGTGGCTGTATAAGAATGTAAGAACTCTTGTATATATAAATGAATAAAATAAAATAAATTTACAAACAAGTGTAGGCTGATGTGTTCACTGCAACACGTCTCAACAAATACAGTACAACCTATAAACTCTTAACTGAATCTGTAATATAAAATTTTCTGAAGTCTCAAAGAGATTTGCTAGTACAGCAAATTAGTACTGTACTGTACAAAAATTTGTAGGAAAACACAACAATCACTGATCAATCACAACAATCAATGCACTAATAGATCAATGATCTACTAGTGCAGACTTCAAGACCTGTACACATTTCCAACTTGTTCGTGACCTATCTAAACTCGCTCAAAAGTTAACCATAGGACAAGGGGCATCAATATTTCTGCGCAACATTAATCACTGGAAGGCAGTGGAGTCATTCTATGCCAAATCATGACAAAAAGTGGACTTTTCAACCTAACCATCTTGGATTTTAATGAAATTTGGTAGGATGGTAGATGGCATGAAGTAACTTACATATGCATAATTTTAGTGCTCAGTGATGCATGATATTCATACAGCATAGTTACCAATGTGAAAAAAATACAACATTTTTGCTTACAAGATCAACACAAAATTAAAGTAGAACCTGCAGGTTGTGCTTGTTTTTAAGCTAAGAAAGCATGGTTTTAATAAAAATAGTTTTACATTAAATATTTAATTTTTCAGTGCAAGATCACATGTTGTGACCTTTGTTGCTCTTGAATGTATAAAAAAAAAATCTTAAATATGTTTGAGACAACAAGAGTACAGTACAGTACTTTATACAGTTAAAAATCATTCTCTCTGGTATGTTTTATTTTGGGATGGATTTGGGAGTAGTAAAATAATCATTAAAGTGGCATACTTTTTTTTATACATTGAAACCAAGTACAATACTATATAGTACATTATTTCCAAATTAACTTTAAATGCCAATGTAAGCCATGATACCATGTTTATTATTATCATGTCTTACCACTTAGTGGTTATGAAGAATCATCATCAAACATTAGGATGGCTAATGTGTGGCCAGATACAACACACACCAAACAGGTTTTAAAACCTATTTAACCTTACCAAATGTCTTCAGATTGGACAAAGAGACTGGTGTCAACATTCTCAACATCGATGGCCTAGATAATCTCAAACTTAAATTTAGATTTTTGTCTGCAGACTGTGCAAGTCTATTGAGACTCCTCACTGGGCTAAAAATGATGGGGTGTAGAGGCTATGGCTCCATCCTGCAGCTACTCCAAATCTACAACAATTGCCTAGCCCATCCACTTGGTCAAACTCACTCAAAATAATAATAATACACAATTTTAACAACTAGAAAACACACTGCATGAATAATGCCTTTGTACAACTTGAATGTGCAAATGTTAATGGACATACTAGTACATGGGGTTACCAAGTGCTGTATGTTATAGGAAAGTTGCCTAAAAGTATTGAAAAAGTGTAAAACACACATGGTTATACTGTACTTTACTGTATTGGCAAAATTCCTTTCACAATTAAGTGAAATATTTATCCAGTCAGATACAGGAACCCTGGGTGTGAAGGTTGGAAACATCTGGAGTGTGACTAATAACTGGGCTCTTGCATATGTTACTTAATATTTCAACAAGTATTACATTTACATACTTCTCTAGCTATGCATACTTGCTTTTAAACATGTATGTATAGCTAGAGAAGTATTAATCATTCCTGTTTTTAATCTACAATAGTAATGCAGCACAAAAACATGTTTTTGCAGTAAATGTTATGCTCCTGTATGTTATCTTGTATCCAAAAGTACAGAATAGCCCTACAGACCTACACTGTATCCAACAGTGCAATGGCAAGCAGTTTGTATCCAACAAGTACTGCATACAACAATTAGGTTATGTTGGGATACTATATTTCAGCCCGTCCTCCTAATGTTTCCCAACATCAAGAAACTGTCATACTAAAGTGCCCCTATCCTAACCTACTAGAGGACCCCAGAACAGAAACGAGACGGTATGTCAATTCTGCGAGCAGCTACCATTTTCTAGTGCGACAATTTTTGGCCTTAGGAGGAGTATACGTCAAAATGCTATGTTCTATTAGGAGGATGGGTTGTGTATTTGAAGTACAGTAGTCTAGTTTTGTAGATTTAAATAAAATATATCTAGGAAAATACACTTATTTTCTACCTCCTTCATTGGATACCTGGATTGTACCTGGATTTAGGGGTAGATTAAGTGTTCACTTAATGGTACAGTATCATATCAGCCTTTTTAGATCACTGTGGTATTATTGTGTTATGTAGCTATCTGAACCCAAGTCTACCCTGTTTTTAGTCAGCATAGCAGCCATTTGCTTGCTGCAGGCATGCACACATTACACAAGAGCTCTTATGATGCTCATGGCATGTAGCCTTTGTTGGCCTTCTGATCAGACAACCGAGGTTCTCTCATGTTCTACGGGCTCACCGTAGCCCGTGCTACTTGGAACTTTGTTCCAGGTAGCGAATCTTTAACAACAACTACTCTCATGTCAAAAAATACTGTACAATAGTACTGCATGTGAAGCACTGCTATGGCAACTACAACTTTATACATAAACAATGGCTGATGTGATGGTGAAAAATATATGCCTAGCATGCAGTCAAAATAAGGGAACATCAGAATGCGTTGCAGTGTGATGCATGTAACCAGTGGCGACATACTGCAGGATGTGTGGTGTTGGCATGTCACAGCCCCAGTACTGGACCAATAATGTGTATAATGAAGCTTTAGTGAAGCTTTAATATGAAGCTGGCTAGTGAAATGGTTAGAATATTGCCAAACATCACTGTCATCCCCACAAAGAATGTTGTTGATATGATGATGCAACACATACTTTGTGTGAGTTGTAAGTATGCTTTGTGTTGAAAGTATGCAAAAAATGGTACTACACATAAAATGCTTTATGTATTTATTCTAAGTATGCAAAATGCTTCTTTGAGTATCTACTGAAGACAGTTGTCAGGAATGTCCCCATTGGTACTAATGTTGCTAGTGTTATCTCTAGTGTTATGAGTACAGTGCAGTACTGTACTTCAATTACAGTACAGTACTGTGGAATGTGACATCTATTGGTACTATTCAAGTAAGTAGTGCAAATTTCACCAATAGTGGCAAGCCACAACTTCACAACAATGATGACTAAACTTATACAGTATAGTACTGAAATGAGGCAGAGAAAGAATGTTGCATACAGGTGGTGCAGCGCACACTGAAACAGCAACTGCTGTCCTGTCACTAACCCAGCAAGAAAGCACTTGCTAGCCTGACCATTGTCATCAAGGCACATTATACATAGGCATATATACAGAGCTCATTTTCTACCGTCTAGTCATATTAATTATTGGGTTAGACTGGGTTGAATAATGTTGGTTAGATAAGTTTTGAAACTATCTTTAGCCATCACTAATGGTCATCAGGGGTCCGCGGTTGTTCAACGTCCTCCCAGCGAGCATAAGAAATATTGCCGGAACAACCGTGGACATCTTCAAGAGAAAACTGGACGGTTTTCTAAGAGAAGTTCCGGATCAGCCGGGCTGTGGTGGGTACGTGGCCCTGCAGGCCGCTCCAAGCAACAGCCTGGTGGACCAAACTCTCACAAGTCGAGCCTGGCCTCGGGCCGGGCTTGGGGAGTAGAAGAACTCCCAGAACCCCATCAACCAGGTAACCAGGTACCAGGTAATGGTAGCATTAAATGAGGTGCACAAGTTAGTTTTTTGTAAGCACTACAGAGGAGATGGCTACTTACACCAAAGAGGTCTCACATGCACCACCTATGATGTCCTGACTATGTGACCACGAATGCCACTAGGCTACCCATTTATACCATCCACAATCACAAGACCAAGTTGGCAACTGATGAGTTACATTCTGATGATGATGCCATCAGAAAGGACCTCAAGAGGCTCAAGGTTGGGACAGTAACTGCACTTCAGCTGATGCCAAGCAGTGGTACAGTATATCAATGTCACATTTAGGGTACCTTAATAAAATCACAGCTTTCTTAAATCTAGTGATTGAATAAAGAAGGAGCAACTGACGTTTGTTGAATGGCTATCAGAAAGATTGCCATGACTGCTATTCTGTGTACATAAGCTATGTAGAATGTAAGCCATGTGGTTTCAGAACAGGGCACTCTTGCCTATCACATTTGCTGAACCACTATGATATGGCCTTTGATGCCAAGGAAGACGAGCAAAACACCGATGTAATTTACACAGATTTTGCAAAAGCCTTCGACAAATGTGACCATGGTGTTATTGCACACAAAATGCATTTAAAAATAATTACTGGAAAAATAGATGGATCTACAATTTCCTGACTAACAGAACCCAGTGTGTAAGTCAACAAAATAAAATCCAGACCATCAACATTGAGGTGCTCAGTCCCACAGGGTACTGTGCTTGCTCCAGTACTTTTTCTCTCATATCGGACATACACAAGGACACAAACTATAGTACCATATCATCCTTTGCAGATGACACTAGGATTTTTATGAGTAGACAACATAGAGGACACAGCAAACCTCCAATCACATGTAAATTGGGTCTTTCAATGGGCTACAGAAAATAATATGGGATTTAGCTAATGAAGATAAGTTCCAGCTCCTGAGCTACGGAAAAAATGAAAATATAAAAACAAAAACCACGTACAAAATGCGGTCAAATCATACCATAGAACAAAAAGCAATGTAAAGGACTTTTAAGTAAGGCAAGAAATAGGTGAGGAGCACGGAGGAGGTAATTCCTAGAGTAAGATAAGAACAAGAAGAAAGGTACAGATGGAATGGGTGTATTAATGGGGTGTAAGATGGGAGTAATAATGGGAGTTTAAGAATGGGAACATAGGAATAAGATAAAAAAAAAAATTAGAGAGAAAAAGAGGGGGGGGAAGGAAGGTAGGCTTATGTCAAATCACATTTATCTCTACTCTTCACAGACCCCGTCTTGTCGAATCAGCTGATACACAATATACCCAACATGAACCTTAGTCCTAGCTATGTTGTTGTTGACTCTTCCCTTTCCCAGTACATACTCAAATGTTTAACCATTCTAAATAACGTGACCTAACATAAGCCTACCCCCCCTTTTTTTTTCTTTCTCTTATTTTTATATTCCCATTCTTACTCGCATCCCAACCTTTCTTCTTGTTCTTATCTTCATCTAGGAATTTCCTCCTTCCTGCTCCTCACTTCTTTCTAGCCTTACTTAATGCCCATGCCTCCCTCGCTCCCATTACAATTGATTTGATAATAGTCTAGGATGGACTGAAACGTTGTCGTCTCCTCAACTTCTGGTGTGTGGTTTACTTCTCATATCTTCAAGCCATGTTACTGATTCATCGTCTGCAGAACTTGTATTGAAAGCAATATGTTGCTCATAGCCAATTTGTATTGATTCAAGCAACTGATCCGCACCAACAATGACTTGAAAGGTTGGCATCTGTCCTTAAATTTTGAACCAAGCGTATCTATGCAATGCACCTACATTCTATTTACAATTATACTATCCAAGTTCAAACATGAGCCAGCATCCAAACAAAGCAGTGCACTGTGATCCAGCATTCAATTAATGCAGTGCACCTGATCCAGCTTCCAATTAACGCAGTGCACCGTGATCCAGCATCCAAATAACCCAGTACACCGTGATCCAGCATCCAAATAACCCAGTGCACCGTGATCCAGCATCCAAATAACCCAGTGCACCGTGATCCAGCATCCAAATAACCCAGTGCACCATGATCCAGCATCCAAATAACCCAGTGCACCGTGATCCAGCATCCAAATAACCCAGTGCACCGTGATCCAGCATCCAAATAACCCAGTGCACCGTGATCCAGCATCCGAATAATGCGGTGCACCATGAGCCAGTATCCAAATAATGCAGTGCACCATGAGCAAGCATCCAAGTAATGCAGTGCACCATGAGCCAGCATCCAAATAATGCAGTGCACCATGACCCAGCATCCAAATAATGCAGTGCACCTTGACCCAGCATCCAAATAATGCAGTGCACCATGACCCAGCATCCAAATAATGCAGTGTGCCATGAGCCAGCATCCAAATAATGCAGTGCACCTTGACCCAGCATCCAAATAATGAGGTGCACCATGACCCAGCATCCAAATAATGCAGTGCACCATGACCCAGCATCCAAATAATGCAGTGCACCATGACCCAGCATCCAAATAATGCAGTGCACCATGACCCAGCATCCAAATAATGCAGTGCACCATGACCCAGCATCCAAATAATGCAGTGCACCATGACCCAGCATCCAAATAATGCAGTGCACCATGACCCAGCATCCAAATAATGCAGTGCACCATGACCCAGCATCCAAATAATGCAGTGCACCATGAGCCAACATCCAAACAACGCAATATACAGCACCATGTGCCTGTGTTTATATAGTGCCATCCCCATAGGAACTGAATAGTTTACTGCTAGACCATTCAGTTCCTTCTTGGCCAGTACTCAAATATTGCAGTTCCATAAATGACACATCCTCGCATTGGATGCATCCTCTCATTGGACGCACCCTTATTTTACAAGGATATTTTGTGGAAAAAGCTATTTTAGTATATTTCATAATACATTTATTGAAAGATATTTTAAAGTGGATTTTGTACCCTAACTAACCACCAAGCTCAGCTGTATAGTTGTATATTTTGGGCAAGAGAATTGCTATATAGAATGTGAAATTTGTATTTCTAGATGTGATGTTTAGTGTTGTGGCATCAGGCCACCCGGGCGGTGCACCCAGTGGTGGCCCATCACAGCGCTCTGGTTTTGTTGTCACTCATTGCAAATGGCTGACAGGCAGATGAAAGTTTAACGTTCCTTTCAAATTTCTATGAGCATTTTTTAATTCATATGCTTCTTAAAGCTAAGACAGTCGTTAAATAATGTATGACATATCAGGTGTGGATTATGTATGCTGGGTAAGGTGGCGAGATGATGAGCTTCCTTCACAACTACAGTACCGATGTACAACTTAAACAATTTTTTAAGTTTGTGATAACAGACTGCGATAACTCGTCTTGTTTTCAATATTTTATTATTAGCAACGATTTGTGCCCAGTGAACTTACCAAGTATGCTTGTCCGGCTCCCTAGCCTATGGCGCTCGTTCTCACATCCGTAATATAGCCACAATAGTTGCAGAGCAATTTTTAATATACAGTATTTAAAAATAAAAAAAAACGTGTCTTATACGCTGGCAGTTACGGCATATTCTCTAGCATCACATGTGTTTATTACCAATATATATTTCAAGCCATATCAAATACAGATATAGTTTATCACATTCATTACTGATAACATTTCAATCAAGTTAAGGTTCCTATGCCTAGTGTAACCAGCCACTGATGAGAAAAGTGCCATTCTTTAGAACCACTGAACTATCTTGATACCGACCCACAGGATATGGCACTACAATACCTACGTACAGGCCAAAGATTATAGCAATGCTGCCGTGGCACTCGGTCAATAATAATACATAGGAATATAATAAAAACTCCATACAACAGTTAAAGTCTCACGCAGTATTACGAGTTTCGGTTTACAAGCAGAAACTGCCTAAACAATCCTATTCTAACCTTACCAAATATAACCCACTCACCCTAAAAAGTGAACACAGGTTTGCAATGAATATAGCATTGGGGCTTATCACTTATTAGTTTCACATGAACTGTGATTGGCTATGGATTGTTTATGTTTAGTTCAAGCATTATTTATATAGCAGTTGTATAAATAAGAATTTCCCAAGTTTTTTATGCTTTGAACCAACTGGCCTTCTGTAGTTCCTTCTGTTCATGTGCTCTTGTGCACTCAAAACCACTTGTGTAATTAATTAATGTGTTGCAAGTTGGTCAGAGAACTATTTCACTTGAAATGTTACAAGCTCACTCATTACAAAGCAAGATATATCTTCTTATACTGAGGAAGATGAGTAGATTATTGATTGAAACTTTAGGGTACATCAGAAACTATTTATCTACCATTTCATCATATTTTGTTTGAAAATGTTGTGGAATTTAAGCCTCCAGCCCACACTGGAACATTTGGCTACAATTGGATAGCATAGTTCCTTTGTAATTGTTAAAACCATATAGAACATGGTTACATTACATATACTGTGTTGAGTTAGACGAGTTTTAAAATCCATTTTGAACCACCTGGAATACAAATTGCCTTGTGCCTGCACAGTAAACAGCGAGGACTGATGATGGTACCGACATCCTTAACCAATGAGCAATCAACTTACCTTCTCTCCCGACAGGGAAGGGCGTCCAAGTTATATAACGTCCAAATTATATAAAAAAAATCACCAATCTTAGAGCAAATGAGTTACTATACAGTCCCTAAGCACTGTTCATTTATAACGGGTCTAAACCTGCACTATAATCACAGGATATCTTAATGATGTATAATCACAACCACACACACACACAACTGTTGCCTCCAGACGCGTCATAGGCCTACTGACGCGATATGGACAAAAACATTTAGACCTAAGGGTTTATGCTTATCAGTGAAAGACACAGTAGGCCTCACGAGGGCTTTGTGAGCAGGCCAGCATGGTAGGGCAGGGCAGTGTGCTGTGAAGCAGCTGCTCTGGGCCCCACGCCACCACACAGCCTTAGGGGAAGGAAAAACACCGCCCTTCCACAATCGATCTCGCATCACGGAAGTGTATCTCTAACCTCATGGTTTTTTCAGCTTATCTAACGCCAGTCCTGGTTTAAAGAGGCAGGATAGAGGCGAGTGGTGGCGGAGACTAGCCCCAAAAGGTGGTCAATTTACCATGATGGAGAGCGAGGAGGCGGCGGGGAGGCGGTCAGAGCCCTTCTCGGCCTCACGTGCAAACTATTTCCTGCGGGGCGGGGGAAACACTCCTCTCCTGCCACGCTACCTTCCTTTATCTCCACACACAACACTTCCAAAGTGGCTAGGGAGCGCCGCCTAGTCGACTAGACACGGTGCAGGCTGGCCGAGAGCTGGGCAGAGGACGGGAGGGCGCGGGGGGATCCGGAACACACCAGAACCCAGTCATGGAAATTTCAAAACAACATTGTAGCGACTCGTGCTGGCCACCACCTCCTTACCTTGGGCTTTCCTCCCGGTATTTGCGATGGATCTACACGTTCGGGACATGCACTGTCTTGGGCGTGCCTTTTTACAACTAAGTACACAGCCTAATGCCGTTTTGGGTCCCTGAAAATAGGGATAAATAAGGTTTCGTGGCCCGAGATGTAAGACGTTCAATCCATACGCCATGAAAATTTCGGTTTGAAACTGGTACAAACCGGATCATAAGGATCAAGTCTTCCAATATTTGGACTGATCTCCGCCCTTAACTGACCTTTGTTACTCATACTTCGAAGCTCACATATATCTCTTTATTATTTGCAAGCCTTACTCGTGCAATCCCTAGTCAAAAAGGTGTCTTTTATCAATGTAATAAGTGCTTTCTTTGTACGGCGGTCGACATCATAAGCATGTATAGTCTTCCCGCGTTTCATCAAGGGCGTTGATTGGGCAGCGCCGAACGCTGTGGACCAATCAGAGGAGACGTTGCAAACCAATACGCTTTCTTCGCAGGTCTGGTGTGGGCGGGAAGATTTGAAAGAGAAGCGCGCCGCCGCTAGACTCCCTAGTTCAACTTATTTGTATATATGCACAATATAATACCTCTAAATACATGTATAAGACACGGCTAATGTGTTATCTATGAATACATGGCAGACAAAAGGGGCGTCAGCAAGCACGGTTATAACGGGCGGTACACTGGCATGTAGCAATGCATGCAACCCATCCTCCACCGTCATATATAACAACACTCTACCTTATGATTCACGGCGGCTTAAGGGAACTGTGACACTGATAACTTGATTGTTCTTGCTACACCCATTAGCACACGTGAGCGTGTAAATGTACTGTGTGTGTATACATTACTTGTGTGAGTGTGTGTGTTTCTGCATACAAATGTGTGCGGAGTTTAAGTCAATTCGTAAAGCCAGAAACATTACAAGAATTGCATTTATACTTTGACATTTCTTCATTCATTCCACAGAAAAACTCGTTAGTTTCAAAGGTGTTTTTCCTGATTTTTTCGACTTTTTCATACAAGATATCAACATATTGATGTAAAGTGCCACGGTAATTTACCGTGCACTTCTGGTATAGGCCTAAACGTCATGTGTCATGTTTAGGCCTATACCAGAAGGCTATACATTATTTTTGTTTTGTTTTTATAATTTTCGTGGCCATGGTACTGTTTATAAGGCCATATGCTATATTTCTTGTCGCTGATGGCAGTCACGAGGCAATTTGGCACCATAACATGTCGCCAGCAATACGTCAGTATACCGACGTTCTGTGGCGTCTTACAGGCTTTACGTTCCTTCACTCAGGTCTCACTGTCTCCTGATTATTACCTTGTAAGTAATATTATGGCTAGCTGCGAGGGTGGCCTGTGATAAACAGTGCTCGGTGGCTCAGCACAGCATGATCAGCCACGTAATAGTGAGGATAAATCCGTGCAGAATATCACTGCAGAAAATGCAGCACATTCACATCTAAAAAATTAATATACAATAACTTTTTATTATCTGTATAACCAAGACAGTTCATATTAATTCAATTAAATTGCTATACTTAATAATATGTGCATATGAATGAGTTGTCTTAAGCCTGGCCTTCGTATTTTTCGGGGGCATTACAGACATTTAAACGTATTATAATTATGTTTTGGATAACATGAATTCTTACCAAGCTGATGCCCATTCATTTTTTGTCCGAAGATGCTGATATTAATTTCTTGTTTTATTATTATTATTTTTTTCAGTTACTGTTTTTTATATAATAGGTGCAGCATGCTTAAACATTTGTTTTCTCCAATCGGATGATGCCATCAGTGGTGCAATAAATTAGCCTCCCCTGAAACACGTCCTGTTACAGAAAACGAGCATCTGGTGACGTCATTTTCTGATGACGTAAGCGAGAGGAGGCTTTGGGGAAGCCTTGAAAATGCTGATATAGTTCGAAAATGCATTTATTTAAAACTAAATGTATCGTGCAATCAAATTGAAATATGCAGAAAAAATATAATTGGGTCAAATTTAATTCATGTGTTCGACGCATCTTTTCGAAACATGATACAAAAATCGTCGAGAGAAATGATTTCTCACAACAGTAATTGGCAACTGCACCTGCAAGTGACTAGGAAAAATGTTGCAACCCATCCCTGGGAAATGACTCTATCCGGTCCTTATTTACACAAGAGTTTTGGAGAGCATGAGATCCTACCGAACTTAAAAGAGTCTGCAAACGTAGCTATAAGATCTAACTAGCACCATGAGGCGGCTCGCGCAGGCGTAGTTGATGACAAATACTGCTGAGAAGATGGAGATCGTTGTGCATCTGGAGGTGACCTGGAGTGGGAGTGGTCGGCGGGTTGCAGCACTTCCTCTCTAGCCACCACCGTGGGGGGTCACACACCCCCCTTCCCGCTGCTGCGCCTTCTGCCTTGCTGGGTCTTGATGACCTGGCTCTTCTTGTTCAGGAAATCAATGGATGAAGAGTACATAACGATTTGATGTTTTCTTGCCAAGAATTTTCCAAGAAAATGTTGCAATATACGAGTTACTTTTGCACAATAAAAAATAGCTCATATATAACTTTACACGCAATTTATCTTGTCAATAATAAACTACAATAAAAATAGTTACGTCTAAGATGGGATTAACTTTCAAATATTCCATACAAATAATCCATCATAAAAGATGAACTGCAGCAGAATGATTCCTCTGATTCATCACTTGCGCAACTCTCTCTCTTCAGGCAAACATTCGAGAAGCAGAATGTGAAATGATGCCGTGAGTAGAGTTGATATTAGACATTGCTATAAGGGCACATTTAGGAGCGAGGCAGACTAGAGTGTTCTGTATATATGACGGTGGCCCTTGTCATCCCATGAACCCACGCCGCTACCATATTTGGCACGATCAACACTCCTAGCCACCCCGGCTGATGAACCAGACATCACAGCTACCTGTCCCGGCTGATGAACCACACATCACAGCTACCTGTCCCGGCTGATGAACCACACATCACAGCCACCTGTCCCAGCTGATGAACCACACATCATAGCCGCCTGTCCCAGCTGATGAACCGCACATCACAGCTACCTGTCCCGGCTGATGAACCACACATCACAGCTACCTGTCCCGGCTGATGAACCACACATCACAGCCACCTGTCCCAGCTGATGAACCACACATCATAGCCGCCTGTCCCAGCTGATGAACCGCACATCACAGCTACCTGTCCCGGCTGATGAACCACACATCACAGCTACCTGTCCCGGCTGATGAACCACACATCACAGCCACCTGTCCCAGCTGATGAACCACACATCACAGCCGCCTGTCCCAGCTGATGAACCGCACATCACAGCTACCTGTCCCGGCTGATGAACCACACATCACAGCTACCTGTCCCAGCTGATGAACCACACATCACAGCCACCTGTCCCAGCTGATGAACCACACATCACAGCCACCTGTCCCAGCTGATGAACCACACATCACAGCCACCTGTCTCAGCTGATGAACCACACATCACAGCCACCTGTCCCAGCTAATGAACCACACATCACAGCCACCTGTCCCAGCTGATGAACCACACATCACAGCCACCTGTCCCAGCTGATGAACCACACATCACAGCCACCTGTCTCAGCTGATGAACCACACATCACAGCCACCTGTCTCAGCTGATGAACCACACATCACAGCCACCTGTCTCAGCTGATGAACCACACATCACAGCCACCTGTCCCAGCTGATGAACCACACATCACAGCCACCTGTCCCAGCTGATGAACCACACATCACAGCCACCTGTCCTAGCTGATGAACCACACATCACAGCCACCTGTCTCAGCTGATGAACCACACATCACAGCTACCTGTCCCAGCTGATGAACCACACATCACAGCTACCTGTCCCAACTGATCACATCAAATTACAACAACTTGTGTTATTATCCAGCTATGCTTGCGAGGACTGTGTTCCACTTCCTGTTGCCCATCCCTCGCCTAGTCCAATGACTCCTGAACCTCTTTGCTGCGCCATACCTGTATTTGAACTCATGCATGGACGTCGTCCTAACTTTCGCCCTACCAAAGGCATTCCAGTTGCTAGCTACTTTAAATACTAACAAACTTATTCCCAATGGCTCCTTTGAGCTGCTAATCTCCACCAAGTTGTGCCCACCTGCTTTGTTTGCACTTGTATCCTCATGCCGTTTCCACCTCTGTCCTACCATATTTCCACCAGTGTTCTGCTATGTTTCCACCCATGTTCTCCTGCCCTACTTTAATTTATTATTATTATTATTATCTTATATACACATAGGTGTGTTGATACCTTAGTCTATATGCGGCCCGTTATGTATGAGGGATTAGTGTGTAGATCACGAGCTAGCTATATATAAATATATATATATACGTTCACTTAATATCCTCTACCTCACGGGATGCTTGATCACACATGGGAATGTGAGTCTACTAGCCTGCACAAGAACATTTTGGCAGATTATTAGGAGTTTTTTTAATTAATAT